CACCAACAAGCGTCAAACGAGTTCAGGATAACAAGATACAACAACAACAACAAGCCGAGCTTGAAAAGCTTCAAAAAGCCGAGCAAGCCGAGATCAAGAAGGCAGCTCGTGATTGCCAGCTTCAACTTCAAAAAGCAGCCCGTGTTGAGCGGGAGAAGGGTTGGGAGGAGACCAGAAAGCGGAAGGCTGCAGAGAAAGCCGAAAGAGAGCATCGTAGAAGCCTCCGCGACGCTGCCAAAGCTATACAATTGCCCCAATCGGGTAAGCGCAAAGCGTCAAAACCTCATAAGCCAGCTACAAAGCGTCAAAAGTGTGGTGGTGTTGCTCCAGCTGTGGTGGGAGCCGCAAGGGTTGCACGAGCTGCTCCACCGCGTAGTCGACGGCAACGACCGATAACGCCCTCCAAAAAAATTTCTGAATAAGCCAAAACTTTCGTAGGCCTGTATATAGTATAATACTAGCTTTGCGCAATTTTATTACGATTTGTGGTGGCTCTACAGCCTCATCTTGTTGACTATATTGAGTTGTTGGGGGTGCTCAACTGGCGATGGTGCTCATCTGGTGCACGGGCACTGTAATAAGCCGGAATCTAAGCATCTGACAGGCAACTGCGACATTCGGGAACCAAGCCATGAGGCACATTGCATGCACCTCACACCCCAGCCTCGACTCAAGCACTTGGCCCGGAATCTATCCAGCGACTGCACGTGGACATGTATATATGCTCTGGCCACGGACGAAGCACCACACCGCCATCAACGGATCCAGTACACAAAAACAAACAACCATGTTTGGCACTCTAGTTTGTGATCTGCAGCACGAGCCTCTGACCTTTGTGGAAAACACAGATCCTGCATCGGCCTTGAGTAGAAATCGACGAGATAAGCCGCATGCTTCGTGTGAACTGTGCCGAGCTCGCAAGGTGAGTGTTTGCCTGTCCTGCCAACCTTGGGCCACTCCTTCGGCTGACCACGCTGTAGATCCGCTGCAGTGGACAGCGCTCTGGTTGCGACCGATGCATCGCCATGTCAGTCGAATGCAAGTACCGCGACCGCACTGGTCGCAGGAAACGCCAGGCCAGCAACGATGGCACCCGTAGTGCCGCCAGCAGCAGCACCACTCCAGTCCCCGACACCAAGCAGCAAGACGAAATTCCGCCCTTGGCGCCTCCTTTGGCCACGGCTGAAGCAAATGCACGCGAGGACGGTGCCAAGGGCGGGTTGGGTGACTGGCAAATGGACACTGACGATTTGCTTGAGTCGATGCTGTCCACCCAGCTGGGCACCCCCACCAACTCGGCAGACATGACAGCTGAAATCGCGTGGAATTCCATTCTCGGCGAAGACCACAGCACCTTGGGTAAGTAACGTAGCACAACAGACACATGCATGCACAGTCCGCTAACCATGCTCCAGCAGGCCCTGAAAGCGTCGACTTCACCACGTCGACCAGCAGCATTGCCAGTCCGAGCAGCTTTGCACAACTCATGGCGCCGCCAGTAGACCTGCAGTCGGCATTGGCCATGAGCGAAAAGCTGCAGCTCGAGGCACAGCAACCAGACGCCCTCAACTCTTCCCTGCTACAGCCCCCCACGGCCACTTTTGGCGACGACGGTCGGTGTCTGTGCAGGACATTTACCGCCACGCTCTTTGAAGAGCTGTGCGCCGAGAGCGCCAACAGCAGCCATGTGCCCATCGACGTGTTGCTGCGGTATTTTCGCGGAGCGCTTTCGCACTGCACCACAATCCTCGACTGCGACCGGTGCAGCGCATCGGCGTCGGATAGCAACAGCAACATGCTGCTGGTCATGGCTGGCCAGTACATGAGCACCATCTGTGAGCGAATCGCCGTGTGCTATGCAAACATCCGCAGGCGGGGTGAAGAGCGACATCGCTCCATCTCGGCTCCGCTGGACTGGGGCGCCGACATGGAGTTTGGCCATGGCTCGGGCTGGGACCCGTCAGGCGACGGCGTGGTGACGGATGGAGACATGTGGTTCTCAACGTACCGCATCGAGAGCAGTGAGGAGCGCATGTTGGTGTTGCGCTGTCTCGTCAGCGTCCAGCTAGCAGAGTTTGCGCGGCTGTTGGAGCGGCTGAAGAGCCGGGCGGGTAGTCGCAGCGTGTGCCTTGTCCTGTTGACGGACGCGGAGCGAAGAATGGGGTCTGCCAAATCCATACTCATGGATTCGGCAAGCCCATCGGCAACCAAGTCATTTTAAAAGTTTTATAGCCACTGTATTATTATTAATGTCATGACATATGAAGAGATGAATACGATATTCGGGTAGCCGAGCTTTGAGAATTTCTCATGCTTGTTCTTTCCACCAGTAACAAGGACAACCATGACAACACGTGACTGATGATGACCCCCCCTTTTTTCACTTTCCCCACCATAGCGCAAAAGCTGCAACAAATCATGCCATCGCAGCATAGCAAGATTACAATACAAATCAGCTCCCAAGCAAACGGGGCTACTTGGTCAACGCGCCCATCTACCGCCTAACAGGAATCACCGACGGATACTCAAACACATCCTTTTCCTGGCTCAGCGTGCCCTTGAACTTTGTGTACGCCATGGCCAAGCCTGAAAATCCCACGCCACACGTAGCCGCGAGTCCGAGTAGAAATGCGCTCAGAGGATGCAGCAATGTCGAGTTCTCCGATGCAGCACCCGAGCGTGTTCCAACACCACCCCAGCAGACTCGTGCGGTCACCAGCAACGCCATGAGAAACACCACACCCCCCAGCCCAACCATGCTAGGAACTCGAATCTGCATTTTCAATCTCGCAGCTTTCCCATCTTTCCTCGCCGTCGAAGCAGCAGCACTCGCCGTCGCTGCCGCTGCAGACGAAACTGAAGTACTAGACTCGTGGCCCTCCAGCACACCGACTTGAAACCGGTCTAGCACACTCAGAGCACTCTCGCTGTGGCCTGCGTACTCGTAGACTTCGGTGCCATCGGTACCCGCGCATTCGCAGAGCACGTCGATGCCGCCCGGGTGGTCTTTGGCAAAGGCGGTGAGGTTGTAGACTGTGGCGTGGTCAGAGAGAATTCGAACGGAAGACAGTACTAGAAGATGGAGATAGCATACCTTTTCCAAAGACGGCGATCCAGAGGTCTTGCTGCGTGTTGTGCTGGGAGAGTTGGAAAAGAGGGATTGTTGGTTTGCCCATGGTTATGACGGGTGATTCGAACTGCTCAGTGATTCAATTTCCCGCGCGAGGAATCAGACGTTTGCCCATGTCGTCCCGAATATCAATTTAACAATTGACATGCTTGGCTCGACGATGACCAACATCCACCATGATGACTAAGTCGCCTTCCGCATGCGGACTCGGAGTTCCTGAATTGGCCGCGCTCCGTGCCAAGCAGGGAAGCAACCCACGCATCTCCTTCGTCTCACCCTACCAGCCCGCTTGGCCCAAGATACTCTGGTGAGCTCGCTGCTGTTCAAATGTGGCCGCCATGAAACGCCTTTCTCAACATGTCTATTTCCCAAAGTCAGAGGGAATTCCCCCCACCGCTTCTCCTGCTCGCCAACACGCCTTGCTGCCTACACCATGTATCAGACATTCTTCATCGGTCGCGATGGGACGCAGCGGGCCCAAGACGTCGATCTATCTGCAATCAAGACTGTCGAACAGTTGAAAACCATCCTTGCTACCCGCTTTCCTTTTGCTGATGCACAACGTAAGTTGAAGTGATTCCGCATGCAGACGACACTGACCAGATTCAGCCCTGCAATTCTTCAGCAGCAAAGATGGACATCTCTCCTCGCTTGAAGCCATCCAATCCTCGTCCGTGCCGGTCGAACTGCGCGTCTCTCCGGATGCCTCCATCGAGGAGCCCCCCGGCCCGCGTCCGCTCCCCATTGTCGGGAACCACTACGAAATCTACCCGGATGCGCTGGGCAACTACGACCGCCTCTTTGCGCGCTACGGGTCCATGATCAAGACCGTCAACATGGGAACCGTCGTGTACCACACAAACGACCCGGAAATCTCGCGTCACGTGCTGCGCGAGGGCGCCTTCTTCACCAAGACCACGTCGGACCCCACGCACCCGCTCTACTACATGCAGGAGCAGACGGCCCTTTTCACGTGCGACAGCGACTCTCCCGCCTTTGCCATTAGCCATAAATTCATCCCGCCCGCCCTCTCGCCACGCGCCGTCTCGCACCACGCGCCGCAGATCCAGGACGCCGCTCGTGCTATCTTCCCCGTGCTCGACCAGCTCGCCGAGCGTGACCTGGCCTTCAATGTCTACCACTACATGTTCAAGCTGGCGGGCCAGGTCATCTGGCGCGTCATGGTCGGACAGGACGTGCAGCACTTTGCCGCCATCGACACGCCGCCGACGCTCGCGATCCGCCTGTTTGGGCAGTACCTGTCGCTGATGAAGAAGATGTCGCTGCGGCCGCGGTGGTGGGGGAAGTTGCCGTTTGGCGAGCCCGCGCGGCTGCGCAGAGTGCGCAACGACCTCTTTGCGACGGTGGAGCGTGCCATGGATGCAAGCGTGACGGTCGGCGGCGGCCCGCTGGCGGTGACGGACCCCGCGGCGTCACTACGGGCGGCATGTGTAGCCGATTTCCTGTGTCGAGCCCGGGACGAGCGCGGCGAGGGTCTCCCCCGCGACGTGCTGTTGGGCAACGTCGTGGTACTGCTGGGTGCCGGCTTCACGACGAGCGCATCCCTGCTGTCGTGGGCCCTCTACTCGCTCGTCACGTACCCCGGCAACCAGGAGCGCCTGCTGCAGGAAATGATTGATCACGGCGCTGACGGTCAGCGTGCGTGGACGTACGACGAGGTGCACGCCATGCCGTTCCTCGACTGCTTCGTCAAGGAAACACAGCGCGTGCACAGCCCGAGTTTCCAGACGGCGAGGAACGCAAAGCAGGATGTTGTCCTGCCTGGCGGCTATCTGATCCCCAAGGGAGGCGTCGTCATTACCTGCTTCCCTAGTCTACACAAGAATCCCGCGCACTGGGAGAACCCTGCGCGCTTTGATCCAGACCGCTGGGCCGACCAGCGCGTTGCAGCCGACGCCAGGAAAAAGGGCCTGTATACGCCCTTTGCGGCTGGCGGTCGCGGCTGCGTCGGCTTCAACCTTGCTCTTGCAGAAGTCAAAATGGTGCTGCTGGAACTCGTCTACCACTACCATTTCGAAGACGCGTCTCCTGAAGCGGTTGTCTACGACCCCGAGTTTCTCGTCACGCGCCCCATGAATTTTTACATGACCCCGCGGAAACGAACGTCGTGGCCGAAGCCATCTGGTGCTGCTAACGAGTAGATGTGTTGGAATTAATGGCATGATTTTGTATGTATGTACATGTGTTGAGATGTTCTTCAAAACCCGAAATGGAATTCCCATGTCCCACATCCTCAGCTAAATTCTCAAACTACATATCTCTCCTGTCTTTGCACACATGACTAGAAAGATGACCGTCATTACACACGTACTATCTACCTACTTGCAGTGGCTAACACTCCATCTCCATCTCTACACACTCACTCACACACACACACGCACACACACATTTGCATTTACACTTATTTTTTTTGTATCCCTTAAACTAGAACCACACATCGAGTATGAGAATAGTATGTAGCGTCTGCTAAAATACCCACCTACCTACCTATCCACCTACTTGTCCCCATGCACCCATTCACTCTCAAGCCCAAACCCACCACCACAAACACTCATTTCCCCTTTTCTTCTCGCTCCCATAAATCCAACCCAGCAAGAGACTAAAAAAAAATCCCCCATCTGCCCTCGCATGCACATCTTCCACATACTCACACCCCCATTGCATACTCATCTGCACCCACGCACCCATTTCCCCCATGTCCCTCTTCCCCCTCCCACATCCACATATTCTCTACTTACGTCCAAATCTCCTTTTACTTATCCACTCGCAGATTTTTGATTTTTTTTTTCCAATTTCCCCCGTACTTACTGTACGCAGTTTTTGTCCGGCGCCGAATATGCCCATCACACCACCCCCCATTCTTACGAATCAAGTAGCACAATGATGCTGATGGCCAACACCCAATGGCCATGATGGCGGGAATGACGGGGACGTTGGGGGGGGGTGGGGGGTTCGGAATCAACCCGATTTGGTTGTTGCCGCACTATCCTGCAGCAGCATTACCATTACCATTACCATTACCATTACCATTATCCGCACCAGCACCGCTATCTATCTATCTATCTAGCTAGCTAATCTAGATCCAATACACATCTCGATCCGTGACACGCGCAACAAGCACAAATGCGTTAAAGTACAGTACAGTAACCATGCACAAAAAAAAACACAAATAACCACGCAATACATTCCTGTTTTGGGCTAAGCAGCGGGCATGCGGGCGGGCGGGCGGCCAAGGTGATGTGAGCTGAGCTGAGCTGAGCTGAGCGGTTTCGGAGCGGAAATTACTTTTCTTGCTTGGCTTGTTTAGAGGAGGTATTCCTAGCCTGGCCTGGCCTAGCCTGGACTGGACTGGCTTAATATACGGTACTTAGCTGGATTTGGGTGTGTGTGTGTGTGTGTGCGCTGATGGACGGATGCGTCTAAGAGTCTACAGTAAGAGTGCATGTGCATGTGCATGTGGGTGAGACAAGGTGTGCATGCATGGTTAGTTGGTTGGCGCGGATCCAAGCGATTTCCGTAACGGCGCGGAAACAAAAATTGCAACCAAAAAAAAAAAATTGGTTCGGTGTTTTGCACGTCTGTGTATGTCGCCGTGAGTGACCAAGGTCGTCGGTGCCGTAGATGGGTGTTTTTCGACGGAATTAAGTGTCAAAGTGTTGTATTCCGACGACACGGAGAGAGAGAAAGAGAGAGAGGGGATTTGATAAACGCAGTTTCTTTTTTTGGGTGTGTATGTATAACATCTAGGAAGTATTATACAATCTACAAGGCTCTCTTGTTTATTTATATCAGAAGCACTGGAGCCTTCGCTCTAGGTATTCTCTCTCCTGCTCCAGCTTCCATTTTCACACGCCCGTTCGTTCATCCCCCCTCACCTCTGTTCATTGGTTGGTTGTTTCACCAAGGCAAAAGCAAGACGCTGTTTATTGTTTCTCTTCATCCCCATCAATCATGTGCGGCATCACGGCTAGCATTGGCCTTGCGACGCAGACTCCCCCGGATACACAACACACATTGTCGTTGTCGTCGTCTTGCACAAACGGACATGCAGGCAACGCGTCCCATCATGGCAATGGGGACGCACGTGGTGAGCATGGCGTCAATGGGCATGCCAAAACCAACGGCGTCAACGGCCATGCCAAAGCCAACGGTATCAACGGCCACGTGCAAACCACCGATTTCGCAAAAGGATACGCCGCGGGCTACGCCGCGGGATACGAGACTGCGCGCGCAGCAAGAGACCCCGATAACACGGTGCTCGCAGCTAAACTCCAGGCTTCCATCGATGCAATCAACCACCGCGGGCCAGACGAGTCGGGCATGTGGATAAGCGACGACGGACGCGTAGCACTGGGCCACTGCCGGCTTTCCATCAATGATCTCTCGCCGTCGGGACGCCAGCCGCTGCATAGTGACTGCAGCGAGCTGCATGCCATTGTCAACGGCGAGATTTACGATCACGATCGCCTGCGGGCGGAATGCACGGCGCAGCATGGGTACCAGTTTAGCAGCGAGAGCGACAGCGAGTTGGTGCTTGCGCTGTACAAGATCCACGGTGCGCCCGGGCTGTTTGAGCATCTGCGCGGTGAATTCGCTTTTGTGCTGTTTGACGGGCGCGAGGGGCGTCGCCGCGTGATTGCTGGCCGTGATCGCTTCGGCATCAAGCCCATGGTGTGGACTGTCGTCAAGGACCGCTTGCTGCTGGCGGCCGAGGCAAAGGCTTTCGTCCCGCTGGGCTGGGAGCCCGAATGGGATGTTCAGGCTATTGTCGACAGCGGCTGGATGATGGACGACCGCACGCTGTTCAAGGGCGTGCACAAGCTGCTGCCGGGCCACTGGATGGAGATTACGGATGAGCGAGGCATCGAGACGCACAAGTACTGGGATGCAGAGTACGAGGACAAGGTGGGTTTGGCGTATACTTTGTGCAACTGAGTGCTGACACTGGACAGACCAAAGTCGAGACGAGGACAATCGATGAGATGGTCCTGGGCGTACGTGAGCGCCTCGTCGAATCCATTCGCCTGAGGCTGAGGGCCGATGTGCCCGTCGGTGTCTATCTGTCCGGCGGCATTGACTCGTCTGCCGTGGCGGGCATCGTGACGCAGCTGGCGCGCGAGGAGCACATCAAGATTGGAAGCTCCAAGGCGACGCGAGTTGCATGCTTCAGTGTGCGCTTCCCCGAGGAGTCCGGCTACGATGAATCCAGCATCGCCGAGCGCACGGCAAAGTGGCTGGGCGTCGAGGTGCTCAAGAAAGACGTCACTGAAGAGACGCTCGCTCTCGACTTTGCCGATACCGCGTACCACTGCGAGCACCACCATTTCGATCTCAACTGCGTGGCCAAGTTCGCCCTCTCCCAGCTCCCCCGCGAGAACGGCGTCAAGGTAGTTCTCACGGGCGAGGGCGCCGACGAGCACTTCGCTGGGTACCCCTATTTCCCAGCAGAGTTTCTGCGAGAAGCCGACCTGGCTCTCCCCGACTCGCCTCTTGCCCTCGACCACGAGCTGCGCGAGAGCATGCAGCGCGCCGCCGACAACGAGATGCGCTCCATCTGGCGCCACATTGGCGCAAACACGTACGCCGCCGAGGGCAGCAGCTTTGCCGACTCGCTGCTGGCATGGCACCCGACGCTGCAGCTGTTTGCGCCGTGGGTGCGCGAGCAGAACGCCGACCTCGACTGCCGCACCGTCCTGCACGCCTCGCACGCGCCCGACGTCCAGGAGAAGATGCGCAACCGCTGGCACCCTCTGCACACGGCCCAGTACATGTGGAATAAGAATTCGCTGGCAAACGTGCTGCTGTCGTGTCTGGGCGATCGCACCGAGATGGCACACAGCATCGAGGCGCGAACCCCCTTCCTCGACCACCACCTGGCCGAGTATGTCAACTCGCTGCCCCCTAGCGTGAAGCTCGCATACACTCCCCCGTCCAGCGAGGAGGTCAACGGCGCCGACCACGGGCCCGTGTGGAAGGCTTCGGGCAAGGCGCTGCAGTCACTGACGGCCAAGTGGATTCTGCGAGAGGCCGTCAGGCCCTACATTACTGATGAGCTGTACCGCCGCAAGAAGCATCCCTTCCTTGCCCCGACCAAGTGGCCTCGTGGCGGGCCGCTCCATCGTATGTTTGAAAAGCTCCTGACTCGCGAGGCGGTTGAACAGCTGGGCTTTGTCGACTATGCGGTTGTTGCCAATGCGCTGCGTGACGGCTTTGGTGACGATGCCAATTCCAACACTTTCAGGACTCTAGCCTATGTTGGTGCATGGGTCACTCTATCCAAGAGATTTGGCGTCAAGAAGGCTGTGCTGCATTGATGCAGTCTGACGTGAGTCGGAGGTCATCGATGGGTTTCTGGGTATCGTCATTACAAGATCTCGGCTGTCAGATAGACATTTCTTAGCGTGCGTGTAGCTTGAAGTCAGACAACTACAATTTCTTGTTTAGTTTGATTATCTTATTTACAATGGCAGCCAAACATGGATTCCTATCCTACCCTCATTACAGTATCAACCTACCTCTATTTCCCTAATCTAGGCATTTACAAGCTGCATGTTGACCTGCAAATGTTCATCGTAGTAGTATGGCAAGAATACGTCTCGCCACAAGAGCTTATCTGGTCTGTCCATGGTCAGCGGCAGAAGCAAAAATATAGTGAATGAAATGATAACGGGAGTGCAGGCGTACAGTGGTTTGGCGGGGGTCATGTCGAATTTGCGGTATACATGGGCAAAGGCAAGACGAAGTTCCGCCCATGCAAGGCTGTAAAAGTTGCATTAGTTTTGGCAGAAGGAAGCTTGTATGAACGAGTCAAACTCACTTGATGCCCAGGCACATGCGTGGGCCGCGGGAGAAAGCGACGAGCCAGTTGTCCAGGTCGGGTGTCTCGAGCCAGCGCTCAGGAACAAACTTGTCGGGCTTGGGGAAGATGTCGGCGTTGTAATGGACAAAAGTGCTACCGCACGACACAATGGTCTAACCCTGTCAGTCTCAATGCTTCATATCTGAAGCAAAATTTTCGTACCTTTGGCGGCACAGCAACTCCTGATATAGTCGCGCCCGTGGAAGGAACTATGCGCAACAGGCCAGAAGTAACGCCTGACGACAGCCTCAGGGATTCTTTGATGACTGCATTCAGGTAGGGCAGACTTTCCAGTTCTGACAGCGTGGGCCCCTCCCCCTCGAGTAAAGGCCATGCTGCCAACAACTCTGATTTGAGCTTTTGCCAAGCGGCGGGCTCCTTGAGCAGGTGGAAAGCCCCCACCATGAGCGTGTTGCCGGTGGTGTCGGTGCCTCCAAACATGAGTGCTTGTGTCTCTTCGTAGAGGCTGCCGGTACAAGGAACCTTTTTGTCACGATGAGCGTCAGGATCCATCAGACGGTGGAAAACTGTCATGTTATGAGGAAGCAGTTTGAGCTTTTCCGGATTGTTAGTCAGATCATTAATCTGGTGCATAAGCAGCTCATTCAGGTCGATGAGGCCTGCCGTCAAGGGGCTTAGCACTCGCGATAGTTTTGGGGGGCATTTCAGAATAAAGTTCTTGAAAAGATCAGAGTACTTGAAATAAAGGGAAACGGGCGTCGATGCATCCAGGGCGACGACAATAGGGGCCTTGAAGTCGGGGGCGTCAACAGCATGGATGGGGTTGCCAAAGCACAGGGTGGTGATGACGTCGACACTCATGCAGCGGAAGGCGAGGAAGAGATCGATGCTCTTGGAGGCTTTGGCTTGGCGCTCGAAAGCTGCGCACAGTTGCTTTGTCTTGTCGATGCAGAGAGGCTGGGCATTCCGGATAGCGGCTTGGGAAAAGGAGGGGTTCAGGACGTGCTTGCGCTCCTTGGCCTCGGCATGGGTGAGGAAGCCGAAGCTGGACCTGTCCTCGTTGAAGCTCTGGTACAGGGTGGCCTCCTTGTCCCAGCGGTTCCTGTTGTTGTAGATGTCGTGGTAGGCCTTTGGATTGGCAAAGTGGAGCTAGACAGAAAGCGGGTAAGCGTGTGTGCGGCACAGTGACGGGGCTGGGGGTAGCTGCATGCACATGGGCAAATGCAAATGTAAGAATATGTCGATGTACCTCGTTGGGGCCGACTCGCACAACGTCGCCTAGACACCGGGCACGGGGCAGGTTAGCAGTGGACGGTGTGTAGGAGCAGGCAACTCTCACCATATCGGGCATGCAGCTCGACAAGGTAGTGGCAGAAGGACCGGTTCTGGACGCATTCGGCATATGCCTTCCAGTAGACGGTAGCGCGAGCTAGAGGCGGACCGGGGAACTTGGCCAGTGGGTGCAAGTAGACGTTGTACGTGACAGCCGCCACTGCGTAAGCGACCAGGGCTGCCAGGCCCGCGGAGAGCAGCAGTACCGCCGTGGCGGGCGCGTCGTCGGGGGCCGCCATTGACTGGGGAGACGGCGTCGTCTGGGGCCGCGGAAGCGTTGGCAAAGGGGTGAGTGAGTGACGGCGGCGACGATGTCCAGCTGGCGATTTTGATGGGCTCCAGCTCTCGAGCAGCGACACGGCCTGGAATCTTGATTACGTCTGGCCGTGACCAACCCGTGTGCTTGGCGCACGTCACGTGCCGGTGCTGGTGGGGACGGAATCAGGCACCAGACGGGCATGAGCACACCATCGGATGACATGCACGCCCATCTCACATCCACATCCACATCCCCATCTGCATCTGCATCTGCATCTGCATCACCTACACGCATATCCATCGGTCCACGCCAGTCGAAGCACCCCCTCCTTCATCGCCGCAAACCACATACCCCGCTGCCTGCACCGACGCCCTTTGGCTGCACCACACCCGACGCGCGAATTGCAGGCGCACCCAGATGCACCCGACTGCCAGGCCATGGCGAGACGGCCAATTGCACACGCCTCCAGCGCCCGCGTGAGGCCAGCATCCGAGATCGAGATGGCGCTTACATACACTGTCATCTCGGCTCACCAGCCCAGTATAGCGCCAAGTAGCGGGCGCGGCTCAAGCGTGCCGTGCCGCGCCCTGGGAAGCACCCCGCAGCTTCACGGTACCTCATGGCTTGAGGGCACCACGCTTCCCATCCACCGGCCCTCAACACCTGCAACCCCCACGACGCCGTCACTGCCCACCTCGCACCCGCCATGGCTGAAATCGGGACTCAGATTGCTTTCGTAAGCCCATGCGCCGCTGCATGCACGCCTCCAATCTAACCCGCTGCCACAGGACTCCGAAGATACCGACTCAGCCTTTGGCGACGACTCGGCTTCGTAAGTCTCGTGGCCACACCTCGCTCGCCGACTGCGCCGCCCTCTAACACGCATGCAAGCGAGACGACGTCACTCAAATCCGCCGTGGTCAACTACAAATACCGCAACGGCCGCCGCTACCATGCCTACAAGGAGGGCTCGTACTGTGCGCCACCTGCCTGCCTCTTCCCGTTGCTCTTCCTAAACTGTGCGCAGGGGGACCCAATGACGAGACCCAGGCAGAGCAGCTGGACATTGTGTATGCACCTCGACCCCCTTGCGTTACGTCATTGTTGACCGGGCAGCCACCACATATGCCTCCTGCTACTCGATGGCGAGCTGTTCATGGCTCCCTTGACCAAGGACCCCGTGGTATGTCTGCATGCAGGCACGCTGCTTGGAGGCCCCCCGTGCTGATGATCATCGTACGTCCAGCGCGTCTTGGACTTGGGCACGGGCACCGGTACGCAGACCATCGACGCAATCCGTGGATCCGCAAACTAACCTGCCAGGAATCTGGGCAATGTCAGTCTTTCGCCTGCATCTGCCGTACAAACTAACACGCTGCCCACAGCGACTTTGCTGACAGATACCCCTCGTGCGAGGTCGGTACGCCATGGCAAGACTGGTCCCAATCCCCGTCTAACACTTGCAGGTACTGGGAACCGACCTCAGCCCTACGCAGCCTTCGATGATTCCCCCCAACCTCCACTTTGAGGTTGACGACTTTACCGAGCCCTGGCTGTATCGCAAAGAGAGCTTTGACCTCATCCATGCTCGATCCTTGTTTGGCTGTGTTGCGGACTGGCCAACATTTTACAAGGAGGCGTTGGAGTATGTGCATATGAATCCAACAGTCTCTACTCCCGTACTGACCCAGCCAGCCACCTTCAGCCTGGTGGTTTCATTGAACAATTGGAAATGTCTGTCGTGCCCAAATCCGACGACGGCACCATAGCGCCTGATTCCATCTTGGACAAGTGGGGAAAGATCTCGCTCGATCTCGGCGACAGATTTGGCAAATCATTGCGCACAGCCGACGAAGCAAAGGCAGGTATCGAAGCGGCTGGTTTTGTCAACGTGGTAGAGCACCGCTGGAAGCTGCCCATTGGCGGCTGGCCGGCCGACAAGCGATTCAAGGAGCTCGGTCTCTACAACCGCATCAACTGGGAGCAGGGCATAGAGGGGTGGAGCCTGTACCTGCTTACCACGCTGTTGAAATGGACTCCTGAAGAAGTCCAGGTCTATCTGGCTCTGATGCGCCAGGCCCTCCGCGATCGCCGTATCCATGCGTACCAGGAGGTATCGTTGGTTTATGGGCAAAAGCCGATGAAGCCCTCAGCGTAATGTTCCAGATTTGGAGTTGTTGCTTTGTTCCTGTTAACTGTACGGTCGAGGCGTTTTTCAATTGATGGACGGACAGTGGAGAAGAAAATTTGGACGTCTGATATTCATGTTATTCGGTATTGAGCTCTGCAGCAGTGTTGATGGGATAATTTGATTCTATTTTGACACGGTCTAAGCATCTTTGTCCATGTCCTCATCACGTGCGCTTCCTGTCCATTTTGGATAGGCGGAACTGCTTCCTATCTAAGCATGATGCCGTTACCGAGCATGCATGCAAAGTACCTGCATGTATGTACTATGTATGATAAAAAAAGCAAAGAAGAAACGAAGGAAAAGCCTGTTGAATGGCCGCGTGCGTCTGCTTATGCATGTATATGTACATGTAGGAACGCAATTTTCCCCGATCCAGTGAGAGTGATGAACTCCTCGCCCCAAACCTAGACGCCTGATGAAGAAATCGAACGCAACCCAACGCCAATGATGAATTTGTTCGTCGCTGCGTGGTACTGGCACCGCCACCTACCCCCTGTTTATAAGATTGAGAAACTCCTGGCGCGTCTTGTCCCTCGAGCGCATGCAGCCAAGCATACAGCTCGTTGTTGTTGTTGAGCCGGTCTTTTGGACACCGCGCATCACCATGCACAGGTGGCTTGATTCCACCACCACAGCCACACCTTGTGGCTGAAGCATTTCGGATAGAGCAAGGGCGACCTGCTTGGTAAGACGCTCTTGTACCTGGAGGCGGCGGGCGAACATCTCGGCGATGCGGGCAAGCTTGGAGAGACCGATTACGCGGCGGTTGGGTATGTAGCCAATGTGCATCTGGTAGGACAAGCGTGTAAGAATGCATTTCTGCTGACAGCCAGAGGAGTCAGGACTTACTTTTCCCATAAAAGGCACCAAATGGTGTTCGCACAGCGAGAAGATCTCAATGTCCCGCACAATGACCAGCTCGTCGTGGTCTTCGTGGAAAACGGCGCCATTGACAATGTCGCGCAGGTTCTCTTCGTAGCCCTTTGTAAAGAACAGGAGGGCTTTTGCGTATCGTTCCGGCGTATCCAGCAGACCCTCGCGGTCAGGGTCTTCCCCCAGACACTCGAGCATGGTACGCACAGCACCCGACAGCTTCTTCAGATTCTCCGCCTTCTCCTCGTCGGTGGCTTCCTTCCGTTGCCGTGTGCCCTTGCTGGGCCAGCTAAGCCCGTCAAAGTCGATTGTGGGGTGCTGCGTGTAGGGGCTGTGTGCGCGGCTCGTAGCCAGCGGCGTCTGGACGACGGCCGCGGCGCCCTCGTCGTGGATTCCGTTTTCCGCGTGCCCGTTGCTCATCTCATGTCCGTTGGGCTCGCTGCCGTTGGCAGTGCTCGCTGCAAAAGCCTTTGCGGGGAAATAGCCAGTCGGCCCGTCGAAGTTTACCACTTGGCGCCCTCGATTCGACGTCTCGATGGCGTTGAACAGGTTCTCCCGCTCCTTCTTATCGCGCGCCTCCATTGCCAGGCGCAGCGGCGGGTCTCCGTTCATCATGTGTGTTGGCACGGCGGATCGGGGCTTGGTCGTGTCTTCTGCGGCGGCAGCGGCGGTGTTCATGACGGCGGGGGCGGGGGCGAAACGAGTAGGTCGTGGTGGATATAGCGTCTCCAACTTTTTTTTTTGGGGGGGTATGCAAAACTACAGTACACAGGCACAACAACAGTGTGGATATATAAAGAGGCTGCGGGCGTCAGACAAAAGGCATGCAGGAGGGCTCAGTTTCCCAGATTGCGACGAGAAATGCGGTGCATTTACTTCGCGCCGCTAATATCTATTGCAGCCCCCCCGAGCGCAATGCAACCGGGACCGTATGACTACAAGGGAATTAACTTTGTCCGCAGTCGGCGAAATGCGGACTAGCGTACCATGACGCCACGCACCGCTTGGACCCTGATCGGACCAGATAGATACGGAGATGAGGGGTCACGTGACGGCCACCTGCCCATGGCCCCATGGCCCGCTAAAGCTGGCGGCTGCAGTCACTCACCAACACCAATCCCATCCCACACACCCCCCCATCTCGCCCTCGCCCTCGCGCCCCCATCAACTCGCATCTCGCGGGCCTTGCATTCCATCGGCGCCATGGATGCCGCCTTGTTCCGTTCTGGTCCTTGATATAGCGACGACGACGACGATGAGGAGGGGCACGCTGCGACAACAAGATGCCCGGGGCACGCCCCAAGGCTCTCTCACCACGTCGTCCCAGCCTTTGCCTCACTACCACTACTACCACCACCACTACCACTACCACAACAACAACAACCACCACCCCCCAGCCTCGTCATGATATTGCGCATCTGCGTCCTCGGAGGCCACGCATCGCATAGCGCAACATGGCGCTACACACTCACGTCCATCGGAGCATGATGGGAACGGTATTACACCCGCCAGGAGCCCTTTGGCACCTCTCCAGTGCGCGCACTCCTCTAGGACACGGCTCGCACTCCTCGCACTGTCGCATTCCTAACACTAACCCTCGCTTGTGTCACCGCTGGTGTATACTGCATCTATACTGGTGAATAGGTGGGAAAGACTATGGCTTCAGCTGCCCGTCACCTGTCGGTCACGGCTGGGTACGCCCCCCCGCAACCTCTCATCATCATCACCCTCATCACCCTCATCACCCTCATCACTCGCATGGGCATGTGCCGAGCATGTATCCAGAAGATTTACATATTCGCCGGGCTGTTGTTGGCTTGCCGGCTGCCTCGGTCACAATAGCTTGAACATGGTCTTGTTGGGACTCTTCAGTTGGTAGTAGCAAAGTCGGCTGCACCTAGACTACTCAGTGGCCTTAAGCTGCATGTTGCTGTCTGTGGGATCCCGGCGCTCTCCCGCCCTGCACCTTTGTTGCTCCTGCTCGGCGCCTCTTGGTGTAGACGACCATGTGCTTCGTCGCCGCCGCCCCCCCTTTGTGGTGGACTGTCTTTGCTCGCACGAGCCCGCGTTATCCTACCACGGACCAGCTTTACGGCTCAGCGGAGATCAACTCAACCGTCAAATGAGGCTCCGCCGGAGTTTTCAACCCCAAATGGTTTCCTGTCTAGCCGGCCTGCCGACACCCACTCTCCGAGCCGATAGTCGTCAAGCCAGATGCATGCCCACATGCCCTTTTTTTTCTTAAAAAAACAATTGCTTTCTCGACGCGCTTCAAAAGCCGGGCGGCCCTGCCCACGAGCGGGGTCTTGTCGTTTTTTCTTTGTTTGCATGCACTAGATAGTTGTCGTGAAGCTTGGCGGGCTGCTGTTGATGCGCAGAGGCCAGAATCTGGGGTTGGAGAGCCACAGCGGGCGAGGGGCGGCAGGCTGGGGGGATGGATGGGCGGAATGGAAGGGGAGGCAGCAATGCATTTGTCGATGGAGGGCCTCCTTGTCACGAGGTCTTGGCGTCATCGATAGCGGCAAAGCGAAAGACCGGCCGGCGCGAAGACGCTACAGCTGCAGCGTCTGCGGCCACGACAGCAACAGCATCATTCAGAAGCGCACTGACATCAGGCAGCGCATTCCAGGCTCTTCTTCGGAAACAGTCGCAGTGGCATCCTTTTTTCTTACTTGTTTATCCGCCCTTCCACTGCTCGGCTGCTAGGCTGGGGTTGGGGAGCTTGAGTTTCCTTCTGGCTCGGCTAGGCTGTGGCTCTGACCCGCCAACCTTTGATGCTGCAACCTTGCGACTTCTGATGATCCTCCTGCCTCTATGGCTGCCCTGCGCCGGGCTGAGGATTTAGACCAGTGGAGACTAGAGGATTTGTCTGATCGAGATAGGGAACGACCCAAAGCCCGTCAGCGAGACCGGAGCTACGACCCCAGGACTTCGTCGCCAGCGCCACGAGCGGGCAGAGATTCGTCCAGTCATCACGTCCCCGAAAACGACACCCGCTCGTCGGAAAAGCACAGGCGAGGCCGCTCTCGCGACAGAAGCTTGGAGAGGCATCGCACGCGTCGGCGCAGCCGCGGCGCCTCGAGAGAGCATCGCTATCGAGGCTCTGAGAGGGAAGCCAGTGCAGACAGGGTTGCCCATCCCCATCGACGGCACCACCACCACCACCGCCGCGACACGACCCCGTCATCCTCCAAGCACCACCACAGCCGCTCCCCATCTCCCCGAGGATCGTCCAAACGCGTAAAACGACCGAGGAGCCGCAGCTCGGTGCGCTCGCGCTCGCGGACACGGCGTCCAGACTCCCCGGGCAAGACGACGGCAAGGACACACTCGCCCCGGTCTCGACCCTCTGACCGCGATCGAGCGCCTCGACCAAGTACGCCAGACGCCTACCTCCAGTCCGCTTCCCACAGGCGCCAGTCGCCTTCGATTGATAAGCATTACCGACCGGCATCGCATCGCTCACGCAAGAGATCGATTTCGTCGGATAGGAGATCCAGGCGTGAGTTGTCGCCTAGGGCATTGTCGCCCAGGAGGCCCGACAGAAGGTCGACTCCACCTTTTGGTCACACTCGCGAAAGGCCTTACAAACACAGCTCTACTAGGGACCGAACAAGAAGTCGGAGCCGAGGTCCTAGACGCGTCAGATCTCGCTCGCCGCCCCGCAGACGGTCGCCTGCCTCTTATCGCAGAAGTTCGCCTCCTAGCTCCAAGCGAGCTAGATTGTCACCACGCAGGAGTCGCTCGCCCCGCCTGCCTGTACGACGGCGTCCATCCCGATCGCCTTCTCCCGCGCCAAAGTCAAGACACCGCCTGGATCAGGATACGGAACTCGCAAAGTCTTCTCACACAAGCAAGCGCACTTCGCGCAAGGGCTCACCAACGCCTGGCTCGGGCTACAACTCTGATACGTCGAGGGGTCGTGGAGACGACGACAAGATGAGGGGAGCCTACCAGTACCAGGGCCGTGGTGGGTTCCAGCAATCCCCGCCCTATCCTCCGCACAATCAATATTCCCCACAGAACCAGTCGCCGTACCACGGCGGTAGAGGGGGTTGGAACAACCAATCGTACCCCAACCACGGGTCAGTTTTTTCTCACGTGGTATTGATGATATTCAAGCTGACTCTTATAGGTCTCCCATGCACGGTGGTTATACTTCAAGCCAGTCGCCATATCATCAAGGCCAATCCCCTGGTTATTACCCAAACCAGCCATATCCCCAATCGGGATTTCAGAATCCTGCACATCGAGGTGGACATGGTGGCTTCCGCGGCAACAGCTTTCATGGTTCCGATCGGCGGCTCTCAGGTCCTAGTGGGGGTGGTCCCTTTGGTCCTGGTGGTCGGGGACGAGGCACTGCACCTACGCAATTTTCCAATCTGTCATGGACACCAGCGTCAGGAACACGAGGCGGTCGTCCTGCCACTGAAGCGCCACGCCCACAACCGGCTCCTGTGTCGCAAGCACCAACCGAATCCACCGCTGTCGATGCCGATGATAACCCGTTCCGTCCTTCCAAGGATTTGCGTGTGGAGGATGAGGGACCAAAGGAGGAGGCTAAACCCGCCCCCTCGACCAAGGCATCTACTCCAGCTCCAGCAGCACCCAAATCTGGGTTTGGATTCTCGCTCAAGACCAAGAACCCAGTGCCCCCTGCCAGCAAAGCAAAACTCGGTCTAGATGAGCCGGACAAAGCCGAGCCACCATCCAAAGAGTCGCTACTAGATCCAAAAGCAAAGGTTGAAGCAGTACGCGAACCAGCTCCAGCGCCTCGCTATGCAGAGTCAAGAAGTGAAAGGGAGAGGGAACCAAGAGAGAGGGATTACGACCGCAACCGCGAGCGAGACATTAGAGAGCGAGACCGTCGATATGATAATTACTACGATCGCAAACCGCCTTACCGAGATCCTCGCGATCGAGACCCTCGAGACATGCGGGATTCTCGTGACCCCTACTACCGCAGTAGGGATAGGGATTTCCGAGACCCGCGAGACCGAGACCTCAGGGATCCCCGAGATGTTCGAGACGGGCGTGATTTGCGAGAGAGGGACATGCGCGATCTACGAGATTCACGGGATTTGCGAGACATGAGAGACCGCCGAGAGCCATATCCGCCGCGAAGATCGGACGACAGGCGGCTTGATTCACGAAGCGATGCACGAAGCAGTGCTCGACCAGAACGAAGGACGCCGCCTCCTATACCAAAGACGAAGATGATCACGAAAAAGCGAATGAAGCCACGACCTATCCTAGCCCCAGAACACGCAAATTCGGAATCAGTGTACTACAGGAAGCCAGGAAATGAGTCGGTTGTTGGATCCGGCACGTACGGAAAGGTTTTCAAGGGTGTGCATGTTTACACCAAGGACATGGTAGCACTGAAGAAGATTCGTATGGAGGGCGAACGCGATGGCGTATGTGTATCACCCTGTCGGAAGCTTGATGTTGCGCTAACATATTGCAGTTCCCCGTTACCGCCATCCGTGAGGTCAAACTCTTGCAATCACTCAACCATCCAAACATTGTCAATCTACGAGAGGTCATGGTTGAAAAGAACGACTGCTACATGGTTTTTGAGTACCTGTCTCACGATCTCACGGGGCTCTTGAACCATCCGACGTTTAAACTCGAACAAGCGCACAAGAAAGACCTGGCCAAGCAACTTTTTGAAGGCCTGGATTATCTCCATCGGCGCGGGGTGCTGCATCGCGACATCAAGGCAGCTAACATTCTCGTATCCAATACGGGTCAGTTGAAACTGGCTGATTTCGGTCTCGCTCGTTTCTACTCCAAGAGTGGCAAGCTGGATTACACCAATCGCGTCATTACTATCTGGTACCGATCACCGGAGCTGCTGCTTGGCGAGACACAGTATGGTCCAGCAGTCGATATATGGTCGGCGGCCTGTGTGCTCGTGGAGATTTTCACTCGCCACGCCATCTTCCCGGGCGATGGCGGAGAAATTAGCCAGTTGGATAAGATTTACAATGTCCTTGGGACGCCTACTGTACAGGATTGGCCTGGCATCGTCGACATGCAGTGGTTTGAGCTTCTTCGTCCAACGGAACGCAAGAAGTCGACGTTTGAGGAAAAGTACAAGGACCGGGTTAGTCCTATGGGATTTGAGCTGCTTCAGGCCATGTTCCTCTTTGATCCGAATGCTCGTCCTACGGCCGCCGATGTGCTTGAACACCCCTTCTTCACCAGTGAGGCTCCTATGCCCAAACGAGCAGAGGCGCTGAAAGAGCTCGAGGGCGACTGGCATGAGTTTGAGAGCAAAGCGCTCAGAAAGGAAAAGGAGAAGCAGGACAAGGAGGCTCGACGCGTGGCGCGGGAAGAGAAGGACAGTGCGAAGAAAGACGAGGGCAAGCGACGTGCTGACGCGGCGGTGGGTGAAGAGAGGGATGCTAAGCGCACGAAAAGCGGAGATGTCACGGCATAGCAGGCACTAGTGGACGGAGATAATGTTTGTATTATTATACTGGTACTCGAGTTGAGTGCATGTAGATGTCGATACCAAGACGATTTATTGGAATACCTTGACAGACAGCTTCTATGCTCTCCTAAACACGGGGTACTGGTCCCCGACCTCCATGGGGACGATTCCAAACGAAACGTACGAGTCGATGTTTTCGGGTTCGAGGGCGACAAAGGCGAGGCCTGCGTTCTTCTGCGCGGCACTCACGAAGAAGCTTCCTGCTGGCAGAGAGACTTTCTGCATGGAGGACTCCGTAGTCACGGTGTTGAGGATGGTGCCCTCGTAGTAGGACGACCCCAGGCTCGACGAGGTGATGTTGTACACCTCGACCTCTTCCTGGAACGCCTCTGGCATTGCCTCAACCTCCAGACCCGACACGCGCAGGCGCTCCGCCAGATCGGCCCACGCGCGTGGGATAACGTAGCCCCGGGGCCTGGCGCGCGTCAGATTCGCCGTCGCAGGCGTGTTGCTCGCGAATTCCACAGGCAGCTGCACAACGGCTCCCGTGCTGCGCTCCACCATGGTAAACGTCCGCCCCGCATACTCGGCGTAGTCGGTCACCACGACATCCTCTTTCCCGTGGACAAGCTGCTCAATTGCCTCGTCAACCGTACGCCGCACCTCATCAGCATGGTCGCGCGCCGTCTCCAGGACCCCCAGTATCATTTGCAAGCCCGCTGCGGTCCTGCGCTTGAACTCCTGCTCCGCAATGCCTATGCCCCTCGTCTCGAACAGAAACGTAATGCACTGCGTCAGGCCCATGGCATTCCGCCCTATCTTTGCATCTGTCCCGGCTTCCACCAGCCGCGGCGGCGTGCCCCGACTCGCAGCCGTCATGTACTGTTCGCCGCGCATCCCCTTTGCCATGAGCGACGCGTTGATGGCGGGCGCAAACAGCTCCTCGGATATCCGGCGGATCGACGCGTGGATATTCAGATTCTTGGCTGCGCTGAACATGCCATCGGCCGCATTGTGATACCCCCCCGCGTACACGGTGCCCGCGCCGTACTCGTGCATGTCGAGCGCAATGTGCGGTGCGTATGCCGAGAACCACGTTTTCAGCTCGCGCGTTTGCTGCCGCGCCAGCTTGGTGTGGTCGCGGTTCGGATCGTAGTTCGTGGCGAGCGTGCGCTGGAAATAGGCGTTTCCGTCGGGGTTGTAGCGCGGTAGCACTAGGATATCGAGGCTTGCGAGGAAGCTGGATGCCCAGGCTGGGTTTGCAGAGAGTGCGCCTAGGAGTGCGAGCGTGGCTTCGTCGCCTGCGGGCTCGTTGCCGTGGACGGAGCCTTGGATCCAGAGTTTGAGCTTGGAGGTTGAGGGAGTGCTGGTGGTGCTGTTGTTGGTTGAGAGGTACATGTATGGGAATGAGTGGCCTTCTTCGCTGAGAAACGGCGCCGTGTTGTATGTCATCCACGAGGGATTCTTGGCCGCGAGTCCGCTCATGAAGCGTTCTGTGTGAGTGTTAGATGGGTTTCTCTTTCTCGCAAAGTTGGGCATCTTCGGGATTCGAGAAGGGGAGGGGGGGGAGGTTCCATACCTAGGGCTGATGCCGACGTCGCGCCCTCTGTGCCTTGATACCATCCTGCGTCGAAAGAAGCATTCGCCATGAACGCAGGACTATACAGCGTCACATTGGGTGCGGGAAACGCCGCTTGCTCCAGGAGCTGCGAGTCACGATTCACAGTGACGTGGTTCTCTCCATACTGCGACTGGGCGAGTGCCGATGCCGCCCACAACGCTGCAGCAATTGAACCCGATTTCATCATCTTGATGCCTTTTTTTTGCACAACATCAAGCCGGAAACAGGACGGGGGCACACGCCCTCCTTTTTAGTTACTTCGGCTTTCCGTCCTCTCTAATCTTCTCTTCCTTTCCCCCGCTTCACACCCCCATTTTTGGCGACGCAACAGACGTCAGTGAGAGGCGCATTTTGCCTGTTTCCAGGGCGCTGCCAAGATGGCGATGCTTGGCTCCTTCCAATTGAGGGGTGCGTTTTCTTGGGGTTGAGCCTCTAGTTGAGCCTCTAGTTGCTGTTTGTTATCGTGGAGTGTGGAGGCTTCGGCTGTTGCACGGCTGTTGGAGGCGGGTTGGACGCGGAGATTGTCAAGGTGCGTGGTGTTGGTGTTGGGCTCGTGGCTGTCCGTCATGCTTGCGGTCCGTGCGGGAATGGTGGAATGGAGAGAAGACTACTACTCTCCATGTTGCCGTGGATTGTATGGGCGCCTGAGCACTGGTGGATTCTTGATTTACAGGATGCCGTCGATCGAATTGGTGCACAATTGCATGCTCTGAAGAGTTTCTTTTCTTGTCCCAGCAGTACAGGCTTGAGGTCGTCGTGACATGATCTTCATCTGATATTCGGCTAGAATCCGTGCAACTGGTCAGACATCAACTTCCGAGGTGTGAACTCCTTTGACATCAAAAAGCGCAGTATGCTGAGCATTGGGTTCTGTTGAGCTTTTCATTCTCAAGAGGCTGGTTATTGCAGCGCACCTATTCCCCTGGCTCCCCGCCTCGTGTCTGCATTAGCCCGAACTTCCGACGCAGCCATGTCATGAGCAAAAGCAGCTAGGCTCCCTTGGGCCTGCCGTTATTGGCATGGTATATCACTCATGATATTATCCCAGCTGTCGAATAGGAGAAATGTCGTGTTTTCTCCAACCAGCCCGCCGCCTCGCATGACGGAGCCATTTTACACTTGTATTGATTGGGTATTATACCCATAGGGTGTGACACACGAATTATTGTACTGTTCAAGTCCGGAACCAGCCTGCCTGATCGAGATGAAAGCCCCGCATACCTGGGCTGGTCAACGGGTATCGTAACCACGCGTAAGCTGACTCCTATTTCAATACCCCTTTCTAGCACCAAGTCAGGACAGTCAGCTCTAGCTAAAATAGAACGCCTATCTAGCGTACGGATGCACTGCGTGATTTAGTCAAGGACACACGCTGGTAATACATCGTATTATACGCAGTATTGACGGAGTTCTCGAAATATCCGTTACTACTGCTGTAACTTGAATATAAAAGAAGTAGGTAGCAATATCTTGACGTTACTTTGCTAACTAGTCAGCGTATTGTGCGAGCATGATCCTACCATGGCTGGAGCTTACTATACTAGCTGCATCGACCTAGGTCTTACTAAGCGTAATCAACCAGTTATACTCCAATAACGTGCTACAAAATCCCTTTGAGGAGCGTTCCAAATCCATCTACGGAGGTGCCTCACAAAAGTTTTGTCCCACGCTAATCTCGGCGCTTCGGCATAACTCTTCTTGGCGCAACTCCCACCTTTGAGCTGAGTAGCTGTACGATTTGTCTGTATCTATCGTTACAATGTCTCCTAATACTGATCCTTACACCCGCACCTTAATTGTGGCGTTAAAGTCACCTTCTGTTGGCAAGTCTACATCACAGATCTCTGAACTTACTGGTGTTCATCCTCGT